TTTTAAAACCTTTTTTCATTGCGTATCTTACCAGATGTAAACCACTTCCTTTGCATTTAATGTGAGCTGTAATATTTGAGCAATGTGTATGTTCAACAAGTTCATTAATGCTTAATGCTAAAATATAATCAGCAAATGCTCAGAACTCCACCGGAGCTACTCCTGCACGCTCTCTGCTTTCAGCCTATCAACGAATTCAACAAAGAGTCATTTCAGGAACTGCAGCCTTTATGCTTTACTCAGACTGTTTGGACAAAACTTATTGCAGTGAGCCTCCCTGGGAAAGGAAAGATAGATATGTATATAAATAAATAGAGCAAATCGAAACCAAGAATAAGCAACGTATTTGACAGCTGTGCTTATGTACACCAGTGACGTGTAAACCCTAAATATGGCAGGGAGGTAACAGCAGTGACAGACGTGTCCAACCCAGTTACTGTCACTGGGCATCATTTTATTGCAAGCCTCATTCTTGCCAGGCCAGGTCTAAGCAAGGCCTTATGTGTGCTGTTCTCATCTCGACTTTGCTCAGCAGGCAAAGTGCAGGGTTCTCCCTTATGTGCACACTCTATTTTAGGAGCATAGAATAAAGCCACACAAATAAAGGACTGGTGGGTGTGTCCTTAACTGGGAAGAGGGGAAACTAACTAGTAGGCAGAGGGCAAATCTAAGCCATAAGATGAAACTGTTTAGCCTGTTGTGAGGCTAAAGCCTCAAAAGACAAACTCTGCAGGTGGGACGGAAGTTGCACCAAGACAAACTCAAGCACTTCGGTTCATGAGATGCAATCTTGTGTGGTTTGTAAGGAGATGGCCAAAAACCAACATCTGATTCCTAGTGCTGGCAGGTTTGGGCCATGTGGTGGACAGTGTTGGTGTGATGGCATTTCCACTTTGCAGGCATTGTCTTCGAGATTTCTGAACATCAGGAAGCAGGCAGAAGCATACTTTGCATTGTGCCACAAATTCAGCCTGTAAGGCTTTCAGAAAGAATAAGGAAATTTTACTGGCATTATCAACAGTAATTTAAACACGTGATACTTGTGATTTTTTTAATTTAGAGGAGTATAGTTTCCACAGAAAATATTACACTGATCTCTCTCATCATGTTACTTGTGATATACCTTATTAGAAGTGTGAGACTAGGGCAAACATGATATATTTTCCTACAGCAAAATGCAGAGGCAGGTTTGAATTGTTGTAAATCCCTTAAAGTGCAGATTAAAGAATGAAGATCATACAATCACAGAATCATTAAGGTTGGAAAAGACCTCCAAGATCATCCAGTCCAACCGTATACCTATCACCAATGTTGCCCACTAACCCACATCCCTCAGTACCACATCTACACTTTTCTCGAGCACCTCCAGGGATGGTGACTCTACCACTAATTGCTAAACAACTTCAGAAATATTGTGAGTAAAATTAAGGGAAGTTTCTGCTCTAAACAGATTTGAAACTATTGTTGTTGTTGTTACTATTATTATTATTACTTTAGGAGACATGAGTGTGTGGCAAATGATTTTGTTTATGTGTGATTTTGCAGAACATCTCAGTATAATTCAGTTCAACGGTTGATCCCTTCACTGAAGGGGTCATGGGCTCAAGGCCTCAGTCAAGTAATGTTTATCTGAAGAGGACTTGCTTTGAATCCTAAACTAGATTGCAGAACTGATGAATGTGAAACTCGTTTTTTGAAAATTAAAAATGAAATAATGAGATGAATATTAAGTAATATGGGGTTTTTGGAACCCAAACCTAACATTTTCTTACTTGGTGCTTGTACAGATATGCCAGAGTGCTAGATTTTCTCAGCAGCAGGACATTGCTTTGACATTCTGCTTGCTTATTTAACAGACAAGTCCAGCCAAAGAAGAAGCTTGAATGGGGCATGGCAGCAGTCTTTTAACCACAAAAGGATCTGTAGAGGGGAAGAAAGAATTTCCTTCTGTTCCGACCAGAGGTGGAGAGGAGGAGAACCACATTGCTACTGTATCACTAGACCAAGCTTTCCTTGCGCATTCCTGGTACAATCTGTATGGTGTGTAGGAAGGAGCTACTGGTCTGGTTCAGGAGCTACGGGCCTAGAAGGGAGTCATTCCTGGTTTGGGATTTACTTTCCTGGTATAGGAGTCATCGCCTGGTTTGGGAGTTAGGGTCTGGTTCAGGAGTTAACAGCCTGGTCCAGGAGCTACCCCAGTGCTTTGATATCTGCCCTTTCATTCCTCAGCAGGCAGGACTTTCTGCAGCAGTGAACACCAGAAGACATTGCCTTGAGACACTGCAACGCCTTACATCATCACTGGTTGCTAATGACATCAGATGAACTTTGGCCAAGAACACGGAACCCTGCATGCCTGAGAGCCAACGTCAGTGGCACCTGTGGGGACTGCCCTGCTGAGGTCACACAGGGAACATCCCCCACCCCGGCCAAGGGATGCCAGGGGGCTGTGAGACCTTGCCCCGCTTCTCCCACCCTAGAAAGCCAGCTGTGGGGCTGGATCCCTGCTATCCAGGGTCTGGCTCCCCACTGCACAGGGGCTGGTTTGTGGCTGTCCCTACACGCAGGGAGGCTGCATTGCTGCAAAGCGCCAGGAAGCTGCCCCTGCCCTGCAAGGAGGGCATCTCAATCCCCACACGACTTCCAGGTGAACACTTAAAATGGAGGTGCAACAGGCAGAGGATCACACACGAAACACCTCTATTAATTTCGTATTTGCAGGGCGCTCGATTACAGGATGAAATGCATCTGTTCCCTTACGTTTCCCCCCACTGACTCCCTTCCATGCTTACTTCCCCAACAAAAAGCGACCTTTCCCCTTTCTTTCCCCACCCCCGGCACCATCACCCCGCTGACATCACCGGAAGGCGCGTCCCGTCCCGTCCCGCCGGCCAATGGGGAACGGCTCGGCCGGTGACGGTACGGGGATTGAGGCCGAACCCGGAAAGCTCCGCGTTCAGAGCGCCGCCGCCGGCCCCAGAGTTCGCGTCGCCGCCGTCGTCCTCCTCCCGCTCCGCCTCTCCGCCTCTCCGCGCGCAGATGGACCCGGTAGGAGTCGCCGCCGCCCCCGAGGCCGGGCCGGGCCCAGCCTGGCAGAGCAAGGTGAGCGTGGCGTGGTGTGGCGGCCTGCTGGGCTCGGGCAGGCCCCGGCAGCGGCCGGGAGTTATCCTCTCGTAGAAAGGCCGGTAAATGGGGTTGTTCTCCGCGAGGCCTCGCGGGGTGTTGCTGGTTGGGCTGTCGGGGGCAGCGAGCTGCCTGGGTTCCAGCCCTCCTTCCAGCTGCGTGCGGGTTTCTGCTTCTCTGAAGGCGTCTTTACGGTGTAAACTTGTAAACAGACTTCGTGGGAAGGCTTCTTTCTGTTTTCAGGCGGTGGTGAAGCTTTTTTCCTTCTTGTCTACTAGGAAATGACCGTCAGTGTCCTTTGAGTCACACCCTTCTCAGCTTATGGAGCTACTCCTAGAGATATGAGGGGTGAATAGTGATAGGACAAGGGGGAATGGCTTTAAACTAAGGGGAGGTTTGGGTTAGATATTAGGAGGAAGTTTTTCACACAGATGGTGGTGACACACTGGAACAGGTTGCCCAAGGAGGCTGTGGATGCCCCATTCCTGGAGGCATTCAAAGCCAAGCTGGATGTGGCTCTGGGCAGCCTGGTCTGCTGGTTGGCGACCCTGCACACAGCAGGGGGGTTGAAAGTAGATGATCATTGTGGTCCTTTTCAACCCAGGCCATTCTGTGATTCTATGATATCCATTGTGCCACAATTCCTCATACTTTTCTCCATATCTAGAGAGCACAAGCTCTTATGGGATTACACCAGCTTGTTTTAGAGCTGCTGGTAGCTAGTTGTCCTGATTATCAGTGTTGCCATTGCATTTCTCACTGACTCAAACAAAATATTTATTTACAGTGTCCATGGGGAACTCCAAAAACCGCCTCGATATCGTGTTCCCTTGCCGATGTTATGAGTGAACAGCTGGCAAAAGAGCTGCAGCTGGAGGAGGAAAATGCTGCTTTTCCTGAAGTAGTTGCGTAAGTTTAAAATCCAGGATTAGTGAGCTCTGCAGTTGTAAGTCGCCATTATCTGTCATCCTCTGTGCTGTGTGATTGTAGTGGAGCAGCGTAGTAGGTGCTTTGCCTATTTCTTCCTAGCTCTGCCTTTCCATTGAAAATGGCTTCTCTCATTAAAACTCTTCCTTAGAAACTCTTCTGTCCTTTCTTGCTATTTCTTTTCTATTATTTTGATTGCCTTAAGTCAGTCCGTAAACTGCGTTTTGAGAAAAGTTGTAAGAAATGTAATTTCTTCTTTTTTAGAGGATTTTATATATACACAAATTCAGTTTTCAAATTTTCAGGTTGTATATCACTTGTATTCCCCAAGTACTTTAAAATTCTGAATACTTACTGCCAGGAGTTTAGTGGGCCTAAATTCATGTCAATTCTACCTTTGACCTTTTCTGTGAGGCAGAACAATGCAATGCTGATTATGCAATGCTGAACTTGTTAGAGCATGTCTAGAGAAAGGCCACACAAATCATCTAAGAGATGGAACACCTCACGTATGAGGACAGGTTGAGAGAGCTGGGGCTATTCAGCCTGAAGAAGAGAAGGCTCCACGGAAACCTGAGAGCAGCCTTTCAGTATCTAAAGGGGGGGGGGGGCTATAAGAAGGAGGGGGACAGACTTTTTAGCAGAGTCTGCTAGCAGACAGGACAAGGGGAAATGATTTCAAACTAAAATAAGGGAGATCTGGGGATATAAGGAGGTTTTTTTACAATAAGGGTAGTGAGGTACTGGGACAGGTTGCCTGGGGGTGGGTGCCCCATCCCTGGAGATATTCAAGGTCGGGTTGGATAAGGCTCTGAGCAACCTGATGTAGCTGTAGGTACCCTTTTCACTTCAGGGGATTTGGACCAGGTGACCTTTAAGGGTCCCTTCCAATTCAAACAGTTCTGTGAGACTCTGGTTTTTATTTTTCAATATATACTATATGTATTTTCTGCATGTATCTTTCTAGCTGTGTTATTTCTTTCTTTTTCATAAGGGGCATCTTAAAAAATCAATTATCATGCTGCTTACAGAATGGTAAACCAAGACATTGAAGTAACATTTGCCTTGTAAAGGAGTGGCAAAAAGAATTTAGGGGGTCACTGTTAAAATCTGTTAGTTTCTATACAGCTCTATGCTAGGGTTATTTGTATGGAGTGACCAAATCATGTAAAGCAGTGTTTCTATGTAGATTACTGTACTTAGTTTTTTTTTTTTCTGCTTTGCTTTTCCATTTTTACATAGTGTTGCAGAAGGACCATTTATTACAGGAGAAAATGTTGACACTTCTAGTGACCTAATGCTAGCTCAGATGCTGCAGATGGAATTTGACAGGGAATATGATGCACAGCTTCGGCGTGAAGAGAAGAAATTCAATGGAGACAGCAAAGGTATTTTTGCTTTAGAAATATTTGAGGCGTTCTGCTTACACTGGCAGAGCTGTGAGGGAGTAGCAAATGCTAATAATCACAGATGTGCTCATTTGTTTTGTCTCTTAAGTTTCCATATCCTTTGAAAATTATCGGAAGGTGCATCCCTTTGACAGTGACAGCTCAGAGGATGAAGTTGATTGGCAGGATACTAGGCATGATCCTTATAGGGCAGGTATGTGGTAGTACTAACCAGTCTTTGCGAGCACTAGTTATGTTTGCTTTGATGTCAAGTTTGACATATTTTTCGTATTGCTGGCAGATAAACCTACTATTACACCAAAAAAGGGTTTCATAGGGAAAGGAAAGGACATTACTACTAAACATGATGAAGTGGTTTGTGGAAGAAAGAACACTGCTCGTATGGAAAATGTAAGTAAAAGCTAGGGAAAATTCACTCTGCATATGTGAAACCAGAATGCTGAAATTTAATTAAAAGGAGTAATGTTTGCCTGTCTTTACTACTGTATGTGGTGCTGAATTTTTATGTCTTCATCAGATGAAACAACTTGGTTTAATTATTCAAACTGGCAGTTTGATTTGTGTCGTCCCCCTTCATCCCCCTTTTTTATGTGCATCTTGATAATAGTTTGTTAATTATATATTTCAAGAACTTACACAGAACTGTTTTGTCAAAACAAAGCTATCAGCAAGTTTGGAACAGGGGCAAATAAAACATCATTGCTGTTTCTACATAGTAAAGCTGTCATGTAACAATTTTTTGTGCGTGTTAATTTTGCCTGCTCAGCTAAGTCACTTATTTTCAGTCAGTGGTTTGACATACAGCTTTTCAATCTATTTATCCATATTATGTGCCTTCTGATTTCTTTAACATAAGTGGTGTTGCTGCTCTAAATAAGGAAATGCTGCAAGTGCTATTTCACAGGATGTTAGGTAACATCATATCAGTTCGGACAGAACTGAGTACTGAGCTTGGAGCAATATGTTTTTTGACACTTTGAAACTCACTTTGTGGCATGTTGTCCCTTAGGTCTTATTCTGCCCTAGATTCTTGCAGATGAGAATGAGAAATTCTTGCTTGTGCCAACTGTTGTCTGCTAGTACCAACACTTAACAATTTTATCTCTATTTGTAGTTTGCACCGGAATTTCAAGTTGGGGATGGAATTGGGATGGACTTAAAGCTGTCAAATCAAGTCTTCAACGCCTTAAAGCAGCATGCATACTCTGAGGAACGTCGAAGTGCAAGGCTCCATGAAAAGAAGGAACACTCCACTGCAGTATGTTTCTTAAGTCTTTTTATTCTCTTTATCTTATGTAACAGTAAACTGCTGTTTTTAGTAAAACAGTTCTTTTTAAACCAGTCTCTATCTCTGCTAAATGAGCTTAGAGATTGTGTATATTAATCGTCTAGCAAATACTCTGAAGCATGTGGCTCCAAGCATCTGTCCTCATAGCAAGTCTCAGGAAGCTGAGGTGACTAAATTTTTCCTTAATAATTTAGGAAGCCAGTAGATAGCCTTAATGAATGAATCTAGAACTGTGCCTGTGCTAATTCCTGCTCTGAAGTCTTTCAGAATTGGATGTTTTACTTTACTTTTGCTGATACAAGAATAATATAATATTTGGGATGATTCTTGAAAGCACTGTAGAAAGTGCTCTTAAGGAGTAATCTGAATCTGGACAATGCAACAGAGTGTACTCACAGTAAATTCATGGATGATGTGAATCTAGGAGGTCTGGGGGAGGTAGCTGGCTCGCCAGACGGCCATGCAGCAATTTAGAGGGATCTTGACAAAACGGGAAGGTGGGCAGGCAAAAATCTCCCACAGCTCAGCAAGGAGAGATGTAAAGTCCTGCACTGGGGTGCAACAGTTCCTGGCACAAGAAATGTGCTGGGGGCCACCTAGGTGGAAAGCAGCCTGGCAGAAAAGGACTTGGTGGACAGTGAGGTGAACATAAGCCAGCAGCATGCCCTTATAATCAAGAAGGCTGATGGCATCCTGGGCTGCTTTTAGGCAAGGTATTGCCAGTAGGTCAAGAGAGGTGATCTTTAGCCTCTACTCAGCTCTGGAGTACTGGGTCCAGTTCTCAGCTTTACAGTACAAGAGAGCCATGGGCAGAGTCCAGCAGCGGGCCACTGAGATGATGAAGGGGCAGGAATATCTTTCCTATGGGGCAAGGCTGGGAGAGCTGGGAGCGTTCAGCCTGGAGAAGAGGCTTGAGAGTGTTTCATCAGATGTATGAATACTAGAAAGGAGGGTACAGAGAGAATGGGGCCAGACTCTCTTCAGCGGTGTCCAGTGCTAGGATGAGAGGCAATGTGTGTAAATGGAACATAAGAGTTTCCATCTGGCACTAGTGCAAGTTCACCAGAAGCTGTGGAGTCTCCTCCTTGGAGATCTTCAGCAGCTGCCTGAATGCAGTCCTGGTCACCCTGCTCTGAGTGTCCCTGCTTGACCAGGGCTTATGCCAGATGGACCCAGAGGTCCCTTTTCCCTGTGCCCCTCAACGAGTGTAATTCTATGGTTGTGTGATAACACTGTATATACTGCATGCGGAATTGATAAAATACTGGATGCTACACAGCTGTCAATGTATCTGAGTATTTTTCTCCCCCACCCTGTCAATGCAGAGAGCACTTTTAATATGCTATTTTTCCCATGCAATTAGGCACCTGTAATATATAAATACTATAAACTCATTGTAAAAGTGGAGGATTATTTTAATAATACTTATTTCTCACCCGTAGGAGAAAGCAGTGGATCCTAAAACACGTTTACTTCTGTACAAGATGGTCAGTGGTGGAATGCTGGAGACCATCACAGGCTGCATCAGCACAGGGAAAGAATCTGTTGTTTTTCATGCATATGGAGGAAAGTAAGTATGCTGTTTGTTACTGATAGTAGCCTGAAGTGCCAGAGGGAGCCTAAAAAAGAGAAACCACAACATATTTGAACAATCTGTGTTTATTTCATTGCCAGGACTTAAACGTTTAGCTCATATGTATGCAGACAGCGATAAGTTCTGCAAGCCAAGTAGTGCCTATTTTGAAGTATTAACAAAAAAACAACACCTCCACTTTTTTCTCTGGAGGTGAACTAGGGACAAGTCAACTGCAGCTTTCTGTGAAGGTCTGTTTCCACTGACCTACCCTGGACTAGAAAGCCACTGTGATGATCTTGAGCTTCCTGAAGGGTTGTCTTTCCATACACACCACTTCTAACAGCTCAATCTATGCAGTTGAGCAAGAGGTGCTCTCTTATTTTTGGGTTACGTAGATGGTTACTTTTTGGGATGCTGTTCACTTTGCAATTCGTGCAAGTCTCTGGTTTTAAAGACTACCATGCTCAAAGAAATATTGTGCGTTAAAGATTGCAGCGCATGGAAACATCGCTTGTTTAAAGTGCATTAAGAAGGAATTAATAAAACCCAAATCCAAATAACCTGTTTAGAGATGTCAGGAGTGAGATGATGTTGGGAGTGGGGGAAAAGTTGGTTGGTTAGTTTCTTCTACTTGACCACTCCTGAACAATGGTAAGAGTGACCTTTTGCTTACTGTTATTTGAAGGGCAGTGTGTTTTGAGGTGCTTAACAGAACACGGTGATACTACTTTTATTGCTCTAAGACATGGATCTTTTTTCACTTGTAATGTAATGGAAGTAGTTACATCTGTTAACATAGCTACTATTAGCTATGATGCTTAATTAAAATTTTCACAAGCTGGGAAATGGAACCCATTTGATAAGCAACATATGATCAAAGTTCCAAAAATCAAATATTTCCTATTTAAGCTTAACAGCTCTTACAAACTTAACTTGAAGTGATTTTCAAGCTTGAAACAGTATCAAATCTTTTCCTCTCTTGTTAAAAATCTTATCTTGCATCGTTTTAAAAAAGAGAAAACAAAGAACGTGAAAAAGCAATAAAGCAACTGTGCATTTTCTTGCAAGGATGTGAACAGTTAATTTTGTGTGCTTGACTCTTTCCACGAGAAGTGCAACTGAAGATGATAAAGTTATACCTCCAGAATGTGCCATTAAAGTGTTTAAAACAACTCTAAATGAATTCAAAAACCGTGACAAATACATCAAGGATGACTACAGATTCAAAGACCGCTTCAGTAAATTGAATCCACGGAAGATTATTCGCATGTGGGCTGAGAAAGAAATGCATAACTTAACAAGGTAAAAAAAAAAAAAAAAAAAGTCTATTTTATAAAAAAAATTCTTGTTGGTTTCCTACTCTCTGTTTTAGAAAGTTAGATTATGTCTTGTTAGAAGTCTAGATTTGTTGTTGGCATAGACTGAATAAGCATCTGGTTTCTTACAGTTTAATGAATTAAAAGTGTCTTCAGGGATTTGGCAGTAGAATTTATAAGCCTATGAAGTTAACAGCTAGAGGCTGTAAAAAAAAAAAAAAAAAAAAAAAAAAAAAAATTAGTTTTCCATTACCATTTTTAGGCACGCTTTGGATAACTCAGACTTTAGAGTCCTAAGTGAAATGTAGAGAGGCTTGGAAATGAACAAGCAGTAACTAGACTGTTTTTTTTTTTTTAATCAGTATCTATTTGTTTTTATCCACAGAATGCAAAATGCAGGAATTCCTTGTCCTCAAGTGGTTATCCTTAAGAAACACGTCTTGGTGATGTCTTTCATTGGCCAGGATCAAGTCCCAGCACCTAAACTAAAGGATGTAAAACTTAATAGTGAAGATATGAAAAAGGCCTACTATCAAGTTCTTAATGTAAGGCAATGCTGATGTGGTGTGTACTTGTACTGAATAACTTAAAGGACAAATCAGCATTTATTTACTTTCTAGGATGCTTGGATCAATTTCCAAGTATGAAGTCCAAAGGCTTATTTTGCTGCTGTTTAATGAGTTACTTAGAATAAATAAGAAATGAAGCACTAGAAAAAATAATCTGAGTAGAAGACGTGCTTTGGAATTTGGTGACAGAGTATTTTGCAACAGAGAACTCATGAGCAAGTAGTCCTCCTTTTATAGAAGCAGTGTTTGGTTTAGAAAGTTCTCTGTCTTTCTGGGTTTACAAAACATTTAGTTGATAATAATTAATCATGCTCTGGTAGTAAACCACCCATTTTTTAAAAAACTAGTGTAGAAATCAGAGAATGAATTAGAATACGGCATGTGTTCTCCATGGTTCAGGCACGTACCTTCTAAATGTCTGTTTTCTATTAGTTTTCCATAATCATAAAAGCAAGCAAAAACCATCAGCAGTTTGGTACTATGAATGATGTATATGTCAAATCTTGAGACTGGTAGAGCAATGCAACCCTGTTTTCAATGAGCAGGGTATCAATACTGATTAGGATTCTAAAACTGGGCCTTGTGTTTATCTGTCTAATGTGCTCAGTCTGCTGGCAGAGCTGATGTGAGTTTACCAGACTGACTTGACAAAGGTCAGGGATAAAAGCTTAATTTGCTGGCATTTCACCAAAACTGCAATTCCCTGTGAAATGTTATTGAAGGCTTGGAAGAAATTATATAAATTGTGTGGGTGGGGAACACTTCATTGTGTTATGGTTGTGCAACTGTTATTTATTTGAAATTTAGCACACTTTGTTCATTGATTTGGTTCCTTGCAGATGATGCAACGGTTGTATAAAGAGTGTAATCTGGTCCACGCTGATCTGAGTGAATACAACATGCTTTGGCATGATGGAAAGGTGAGCATATTTTTAATGATGTAGGAAGAAAAGTTTTTTTCTAATATGAAATGTTAAAGCAAAGTGCATTGCTGTCTCTGCTTACAGGTTTGGTTTATTGATGTCAGTCAGTCTGTGGAGCCAACTCATCCTCATGGACTTGAATTTTTGTTCAGAGACTGTAGGAATGTTTCACAGGTAGGACCTCTTCAGCTGACAATCCTCAGTTACAAAAGGTGTCTTTCTAAGATACAACAGCAACAGTGGAATTCAGAATTAATTAAAAATCAATCAGTATAACTCCACAAAATAATTGTGGCTGGATTTGTGTAAGATTCATCTTGCATGATGTCAGTACTGATGGCATTCTTCTTTGAAAGGCAAAATCTGGGGTAGAATAAAACAGTACTGGTGGATTTAAAACTTTCCTCAGCTGTTACCTATAGGTCAGCAAAGCCAAAAACATCATTTATCTAAAAACTTCTAAAACTATAACTTGTGGAGAAAGAAAAAATAAAATATTTCTCTTAAGTGTTTGTGTACTTTTTATTTTATGTAGTTCTTTCAGAAAGGAGGTGTGGCAGAAGCACTTAATGAGCGTGAACTCTTCAATGCTGTCTCAGGTTTAAATATTACAGCTGAAAATGAAGTGGACTTCCAAGCAGAGGTATATAACTTTGTGTTTAACATCTCAATTTGGTTAGCTTGTAGCCATTGCAATACTTAACTTTCCAAGTTTAGTTTGTATGATTAATGCGAGTATAACTTCAGAAATCATTTTGCACCTCTCTTTTAAATGTTGGTTATTTCCTCCTCATAGAAACAGTTTTCAGAAACTGACAGACTTTTCCACTCTATTCCTGATGATCTGCTCCCAAATATAGAAGGTCCTTGTGCATAATTGTTCTTTCCAATGCTAAAGGAAATATTTAGTGATCTGTTTGCATTTAAAAGATGATGTTGTTGTCTTGCCTTATGGCTTTTTTTTCTTAGAATAAGCTTTTGTTGAAATGAATAAATTGCTTATTTTTAATACTTTAAATCACTTTGAAGATGAGGCTTGCATTTTCAATCTTCAAGCCTAACATTAGACATGTGAAATCATGTTAATCTAAATATAGACTAGGAATCTGTGGCCACCTTTCACTTTTAAGTGTCAAATTGTGGTTATCGCTCCTCAAGGGATGCATCCTGTTCACAGACGCTTATAAGCTGTCAAAAATTCCCCATCTACTGATTAAATTAAGGTTACATAGCAATTCTACTTGCATCTTGATAACATTGCAGGTTTATGCTTGTCCAGGATAAACAGGTTGGAGCATTTAACTTGTGGTGCAAGTCTTTAAACTGATGAAGGGAGTAAAATAGTCATGAGAATTTCTTAGGCTGTTCCAAGATTAAGTTACTGATTGATTTATTAAGGGGGCAAGAGAGAAATTGTCTCTTTGACTTCATTGTGAGCTTTGGTATGTAGGAGTTTGTCATCTCTCTTTACCTCTGGCTTTTCTGGGAAAGACTTATCGCTGTTTACGTATCTGTGAAATTGAGCAGTCCATCCTTAAATTTAAGCTTTAGACTGGAATGAATAAAATTACCTCCCACAGAGTACAAGAAGAATTAATCCAAACATAAGCTGAAGGCTAAAATAAGCTATGCTACTGTGTTACTTTGATTGTAAATAAATAAATAAATAATATATATATATATATATATTAAATGATGATGGTCTTCTGCTTTCACCACTGGCAATGATTATGGTGGATTTGTAATCTTAATATTACTGGGAATTTCTCCACTGTTGCTAGATTGGCTGAGTTACAGCAGAGGTGATTAGCAGTGCAGAAATAGATGGTTATGTACTTTGTGGAATACAGCTGAAGTCTTAGGAATCTGCAACTCATGAGTTTCAGTTGTTGTATGAAGCTGTGAGGAAGTGCTGTTCCTTTTATTAACTTCTGAGAACTGATGTTTTGAGCTGTTTCTAAAGCATATTGCACATGTATGAGACAGAATAAATGTTGTATGTACGTGATCAGTCATCTAAATAAACACTTCTAATACTATTTAGCAAGATTCTAGAGCAAGCATGGCTTTCTAATTTCAATGTGAGTTTATTTTTTGGCTCTCTAGATTGAAGCCTTGGAGAAGATGAATGAAGATCATGTGCAGAATCATGGAAAGAAAGTGTCCACGTTTTCAACTGATGGAGACCCACCTATATATAATGAATAGCACTGGGTGTGTAGCTGCTTTAACAACAACAACAACACAGACTTGCTGCTACTGACATTGTTGGTGCAGTGGTAAATGTCAACTACCAATGTCGAGAGAGTGGTTGACTGGGATTGCCAAAATGGAAAACACAGTGAGCATATGGTGATGCCTCAGTGTGTTTTTTCTTTTTGTTTGCTTTGTTTTTAACTTGGCCCATGCATCAGGCTGGCACTGGGAGGATAAAATGTCACTACTTCTGAGGATAGTCTGACAGCATCACCAATTGTCTGCTCACACTAGGCTGATTTAGCTGAGGTGGTCATATTTTGCATGATTCAGAGCTTTTGTTTTAGTGTTATTTTTTTACACCTAAAATACATGGAATGTGGCTCTAACTGTCTCAGTAAATCCAATTAGATATTACAAGAAATGGGTCTTAACTAGCAGAGGACTTATTTGACAGGCTAAGAAATCCAGGTTGCTTAACGAAGTAAGTTCAGTTACCTTTGGCCTTTAAAACAAACAAATAAAAAACCACAAGTAATTAAAGAACTTGGTGCAAATTAAAAAAAAAAAAAAAAAAAAAAGAAAAAAGCCCTGTATAATCTTGCATCTCCACTGAAAATCTGAGTAGAGCATCAAACCTCCTAATTCATCCAGAAGAGGATCATATACTCTGAAAACTAAATACTGATCAAAATTACTTTTAAATGAACTTACAAATAGTAAGTAGAAAATGTATCTTTCATGCTTTTATTCTTAATGTCAGTCTTCTATTTTATCAAGTTTTAAAAGTCTAGCAATGTTTCTCTGCAGCGCATTTAAAAATGACTTGATCTAGTGGAGTGGTTTGGAATTAAGAATTTCTGATCAACTTTTCAAACTCTGCAGTTTTTGATGCCGCTCTTTATCAAGCAAAATATAACGTTGCTGTGTTACATTCTCCCAGTGTACTGTGGAAGTGATTTGGTTTTGTTTTTATTAATTGGAGGAGTGGTGGCAAAGTAAAAACTGAAGATCTTGCAGTGGTATTCTTGTGTGGTTCTTTGTACTGTACTAGCCATCCCTGATCCTCCATGCTTTGAATTCAGCAATCATCTTGCTTCTACTCCTTGCTTTTGGTAAAGCAGTTTATGACTTGTAGAGTTCATTCCTAATCCCTTAGTGAAAAAGTTGCCCAAAATAGGGACCTCGGGGAAAGAACTGGATGGGTACTGACACTGATATAGTTAACACCTTCAGAAAGAGTGAATGCTGCTGTTGTCAAGTACAACCCAACCTTTCTCAAAGCATGCAGAGGATAAGGCTTCTTAACATACCTCATGGCCAGAGAAGAGATTTAGATAGGATATGAGGAAGAAGTTTCTTACAGCAAGGGTGGAGAGGTACTGGGACAGGGTGCCCAGAGAGATGGGTGAGTGCCCCATCCCTGAACATACTCTAGGTCAGGTTGCATGGGGCTCTGAGCAGCCTGATGTAGCTGTAGGTGTCCCTGTTTAATGCAGGGGAATTGGACCAGGTGGCCTTCAAGGGTCCCTTCCAACTCAAATGATTCTGATTCCATGTTCATTGTAAGTTTTTGTCCTTCTAACATTTCTCAGCAAAACTGCAGCATTTTTGTCAAATAGGGGTGTTGGAGCTGTGTGCATGTTATGCATCTGAGGAGACAGCAGCAACCATTGGAAGGCAAGGCAGCATTTTGAAGCACGGGAAGCTTCTTGTATTGTTCTTAAATAGAAGCCTCCCTTGTTTCTGTCGCTTTTAATGTCTTTGTAAAATAGATTTCTACTGCAGTTACAATAAGACAAAGCACTTAATGCTGAACTTTGAAGCGCTCTGGAAGAACGCGTCCTCCCCGTTGGCTGCGGGCTCGTCGGCTCCCTCTGCTCTCCTGTCGAGGGTGGGGCCGGGCTGCGAATGGGGAGGCTGAGGGGCGGGGCTCCCCACTGCTGCGCCTCCCGCCGCGGCCTGTGCGCTCTGCGCCTTTAAGGCGGGCCGCTCCCGCGTCACGTGAGGAGGGAGTGTAAACAGGAAGCGGCCGCTGCCGGGAGGCGCGTTGGGCACCGTTGGCGCCGCAGCCGCTGCCGCCATGAGCCGCGAGGCGCCGCCGCCGGGGGAGGAAGCGGCGCCGGAGGGAGCGGCAGGAGGAGGAGGTGGTGAAGGAGGAGGAGAAGGAGGAGATGGCGGCGAGGATGGCTGCTACCTGACGCTGTGCCCGCGGCCCGTGCACTTCGAGAAGGCCAACGCCGTCAACTGCGTCTTCTTTGATGAGGCCAACAAGCAGGTGGGTGCGGCGCAGGGCCGGGCTGCGCTGGCCTTGCCTCAGGGAGCACCGCTGCCTTCTGGGCGCCGGCGGTCCTGGGGTCAGAGGTAGAGGCAGCGGCCGGCGGGCGCTGGCGGTGCCCCCCAGCTGTGTGGGCTCGGCTCGTCCTCGGGCCCTCAGCCTTCCCGCTGCGGGCCTGAGTGGGCCTTGGAGCTGCTCCCCTGCCGCTCTATTCGGCTGGTGGGATCTGCGGTTCGTTTTTCTTCGCTTGCGCGGCGCTGGCACGGCTGCCCGTGTAAGCTGTGGTGCCCCATCCCTGAAGGTGCTCAAGGCCAAGTTGGATGCGGTCCTGGGCAGCCAAGCTGCTGGGCAGCAGCCCTGCCTACGCATCAGGGAGCTGGAGCTGGGTGGGCTTTAAGGTCCCTTCCAACTTTAGCTATTCTGGGATCGAACATACTGAGCATTTGGCTCATCATCCCGCTCCCGTGGGACTGGCACAGTGTGACAGTGTGCTGCTAGAGGGCTGTGCAGCACCTGTCACCTCACTGCAGGCACCACTGAACCTTTCCCAGATGAGCCTGCTTACATTTGTTGTGTTGGATGACACCTGCCTTCTTGTCCCTGCTGTCACTGTCACGAAGTCTTTATGGAGGTCTGTAGTGTCAGCGAATAAACTGGATTTTTCTATTTGTGAAGCTGTGTGTGTTCATAAATAATGATATTTGTGGTTTTCTTTGTGGTTCTGAACAGAATGGATGCTTTGCTTTATGTTTCTCAGCATTAGTTTTTTGAAATGCCTTTCTCCTTAATATCACTGTGGGATTCTGTGTAGTCAGCTCAGCATAGCCACAGGGTATGTCACGGTGCTTGGATTGATGTGGGTACCATCAGCTGCCTGATTTCTGTAACCATTCCGTGCAGTATTCATAGCACTGAAGCATTCATGCTTTCATCCCCACAGAATGGCACAGTTTGTGGAATCTCCTCCTCTGGAGGTACTCAAGACTTGTCTGGAAGCCTTCCTGTTAAACCTGCTTCTAGGGATCCTGCTTTGCAGGGGGTTTGGACTAGATGACCCCAGAGGTCCCTTCCAACCTCTGTGATTCACAGAATCACAGAATGGCCAGGGTTGGAAGGGACCTCAAGGATCATGAATCTCCAACCCCCCTGCCACACACAGGGCCACCAACCTCCACATTTAATACTAGACCAGTTAATACTAGACCAGGCTGCCCAGGGCCCCATCCAATCTGGCCTTGAACACCTCCAGGGATGGGGCATCCACAGCCTCTCTGGGCAGCTTGTTCCAGCACCTCACCACTCTCTGTAAAAGAGAGAGGGGAAGAGTATTTCTGGTATTTGTGTCATGCTGCTCCTTAGCATTTAGAATGCTTGGTGTCCTTTCTCTTTATAAATCTCAATTGTTTCCTTATATTTTTGAGGACTGGTTGAAATGTGGGCACTTTCACATGCTTGTATGGAGGCTAAGGATTTGCATGCGGTTTATAGCTTTGAAGTCTGTATTCTTGCTTATGCTTATTGCACCACTAGCATTAACCATGCTACAGAGCAACGTATTGATTAGTCTGAGACCTGATCTGTGTGTCTGCTGCTTCTGCATGACTTCCCAACTCTCTTAACAGCTTGACTTCTCTAGCAGGTTTTAAATAAATGTTTGCATAGTTGTAATAAGGAATTCTTCAGGTTGTTAGTGCAAGTCAGCTGAAACATCTTATGTACAGGCAAAACTGTGGGTTACTGTTGAGCTCTTCCTATCTGAGAACGTGTTCTGACAAGATAAACTTTCTGAGTCAGTGAGTTGTACCTCTTCACTTCCTGGTTCCTGAGCTGTTTTCCTGAAACAGTGCTTACTGGCTTATCTGATGTCTCAGATGTTTTTACTAATGCCTGAATTAGGAAAATAAGAATATACAGAACAAACCAAAAAAGGTGATACAACTTTTACTATTCTATCTTGCCAGTAGTTTAAGTATTATTATGAACTTGAATTTTCACAGTAAATAATTGATTTTTAAATTTTTTTAAATATATATTTATTTTTTTAATAGGTTTTTGCTGTTCGATCTGGTGGAGCTACAGGGGTTGTTGTTAAAGGTTTGGAGGATAGAAATTCCATTTCATTCAGGTAAGGCACCTTCATCTTTGTCTGAGGATGGTATTCTGCAGTCATAAAGTTATGTGGCGCTTAGGCCTAATTGTTACTGTGCCTCTAGCATAAAACTTGTGAGTAGTTGTGAGCAGACATAATCTTCTTGCAGTTATGCTGGCGTGTTTTTCTCTTGTGACTCTGTAGTCTTCTGAAAGTCATTAAGCTGTGGCTCTTCCTATAACAGCAGTATTTCATTAAAACACGCATGTAAATGTGACAGTGTGGGGATTCAAACTTGTGATTCCTTCAACAGCTGTGACTTCTTCAAGGATCTGGTGTAACAAGTCCACATGAAGTCAACTTTAAAGTAGAGGGAACCAAAGCTTCCAAATTGCATACGTGTGATTCAAGCACAGTATTTTCTAATAGTGGATTTATTGATTTCTGCGGCTTCTTTAATCTAGTTTGCTTTCTTTTACATTTTCCATTTCTTGTTGGAAGTTGTTTTTTTTGATTGTTTGTTTGTTGTTTTCCTCTACAGAATCTGACAACAGTGTTTTATCTCTAGGTAACTGTTCTATAAATACCTGTGCTAAAAGGGATAGCTCTTTGTTCTCTGCTGTCCATTTGTTAAGGAAAAGCTGCTTAAATCCAGATGTTTGAAGCAATTTGTTTACTGTGATGTCTGTTATTTTGTGGGGTCTGCCCTGAAAGTTGCCAGTTCTGTCTTCCTTATTTGACTCCCTTGTCTCAAATCCTGATAGAGATGAAATTACACAGTGAGCTCCAGAAGGTTCCACAACTTGTTGTCCGCCTACCTGTGTAGCTCTCTGTTTATCTGGACTGAGTAGTGCTGGCAATAAAATTCCCTTAGTTGTGCCAATTGTACTGACTCTGGTTTGGTTGCTTTATATTTTTACTTTTTTCCTTATGGTGTGAAAACAGCCTCACTCTGCCCTTTGACTTCAGAAATTCCTCTAGGGGATCCTAGTGGGGAAGAGAATGGATTTAGTTCCATTAGCAGCAGTCCTGGTCATAAAGGAGCTGATCAGAGGATGTCAGTGAGTGTTACAGGACTTGGAAGCATTAGGAGTGGATTGAGAACACAGGCTTGAATATTATGCTTTTTTTCCTCTCATCCTCTTTTAGAGGGTGCATTACAGAATTTTGTAACAAACTATTTTAGATGGTATTTCCATAACTTCTTTTACTTCCTCCATAGGATGGAAGACAAAGGAGAAGTGAAGTGCATCAAGTTTTCCTTGGGAAACAAGATACTCGCTGTGCAGAGAACATCAAAGAGTGTGGTAAGACTCCTACACCCTACAGGCAGGGAGGGCATTGAAGCTGAAGCTTTGGTACTTCAAGTACCAGAGTAGGAGCCTCTGAGAAGAGAGAGAGTTCTGTTGGCTGTCAGTAGCTGTAGTGAAAATTCTTCCCTAACCCTGGGGCTGAGCAGCTGCCAAGCAACATTATTGTTGTGTGAGTATCATCTCTTAAGAAAGGTGGGGTGGGTGGAGCTGACTGCTATAAAAAAATTCTGGCTGTGGTGAAGTAGAATGTAGTAAGTCAAGCTTAGTTCTGTTTATCTTACCTGAAGTTATTTGATTAGCTAATATTTGTTATCTTGTATCTGTAATATTCCATGGTTCGTAATT